GTAGGATGCTCCAGCTGGAGTGCTGCTGCAGGGCTGGTGATTAGAACACATGAGGCCGAGCCCTCCCTGCCCCTGGCACTAAATCCTCTCCTTTCTCTCATAAAAGGCCCTGGCCAGACCCTTTCTAATTCTTATTGCAGTTTCTTCTTTGACCTATAGGGTTTCTTTTTCTTTTTTATGACCTACAGGGTTTTCTTTTCTTCTTTTTTTCTTTGAAGTGGAGTCTCACTCTCGCCCCGGGGTTGGAGGACAGTGGCAGGCTCACAGCCACCACAGCCTCAACCTGCTGGGCTCAGGTGATCTTTCCACCTCAGTCTTCCAAGTAGCTGGAACTACAGGCGTGCACCACCACGCCCGGCAAATTTTTTTATATATTGTAGAGATGAGGTCTTGCCAAGTTGCCCAGGCTGGTCTCAAACCCATGGGCTCAGGCAAGCCTCTCACCTTGGCCTCCCAAAGTGCTGGGATTATAGGCGTGAGCCACAGCACCCAGGCTAGGGTTTTCTTTTCTTATTTTTTTGAGTTGGGGTCTCACTCCATTGCCCAGGCTAGAGTGTGCAATGCACCATCACAACTCACCGCAGCCTCAACCTCTTGGCCTCAGGAATCCTGTCTCAGCTTCCCACGTAGCTGGGACTATGGGCGCACGCCACCATGACTGGCTAATTTTTTGACTTTCATAGAGACGAGGTCTCACTGTATTGCCCAGGTTGGTCTGGAACTCCCGGTCAAATGATTCACCTGCCTTGGTCTCCCAAACTGCTGGGATGACACATGTAAGCCATCAGATCCAGCCAGGGATTTCTTTTTTGAGTTGGAGTCTCACTGTGTCACCCAGGCTGGAGTACAGTGACATGCTTATGGCCATTACAGCCTGGACCTGCTGGGCTCAGGTGATCCTTCCACCTCAGTCTTCCAAGTAGCTGGAACTACAGGCATGTGCCACCACGCCTGGCTATTTTTTTTTTTTAATGTATTGTAGAGATGAGTTCTCTCCAAGTTGCCCAGGCTGGTCTCAAACCTGTGGTTTCAGGCAATCCTGTCACCTCGGCCTCACAAAGTGCTAGAATTATAGGTGTGAGCCACCGTGCCCGGCCAGAGATTTCTTATGGAAGTAAAATTCACATGATATATAAAATTAACCATTTAACATTACACACCCCATTAAACAGTCACTGCCCATTCCCCTCTTCCCTGAGGGCCAGGCAACCACTGATTGGCTTTCTGTCTCCATAGATTTAACTGTTATGGATCTTTCACATAAATAGAATCAAACAATATGTGACCTTTTGTGTCTGGTATAATGTCTTCAAACAATGTGACCTTTTGTGTCTGGTATAATGTCTTCAAACAATGTGACCTTTTGTGTCTGGTATAATGTCTTCAAGGTTCATACCTGTTGTCACATGTGTCAGCACTGCATTCCTCTTTATGGCTGAGTAAGAGTCCACCGTGTGTTGATTCCACATTTTGTTTATTCACTCATCCATTGATGGCATCTGCACTGTTTCTACCTTTTGGCTATTCTAAATAGTGCCGCCATGAGCATTCCTAAATAGATATTCTTTTGAGTACCTGTTTTTCTTTTTTTGAGTCAGAGTCTCACTCTGTCACCCAGACTAGAGTGCAATGGCACACTCTCGGCCACTCCAGTGTCGACCTGCTGGGCTCCAGTGATCCTTCTGCCTCAGCCTTCCAAGTAGCCAAAATTACAGGCGCAGGCTACCACACCTGGCTTATCTATCTATCTGTCTATCTATCTATCTATCTATCTATTTATCTATCTATCTATCTATCTATCTACCTGTTTTAGAGACAGGGTCTCACAAAGTTGCCCGGGCTGGTCTCAAACCTGCAGGCTCAGGTAATCCACTCACTTTGGCCAGATATAAAAGGTCACATATTGTATGATTCTATTTATGTAAAAGACCCATAACAGTTAAATCTATGGAGAGAGAAAGCCAACAGTGGCTTTTTCTTATTGTAGAGACGAGGTCTCACCAAGTTGCGCAGGCTGGTCTCGAACCCCTGAGCTCAGGCAATCGTCTCACCTTGGCTTCCCAAAGTGCTGGGATTATGGGCGTGAGCCACTGCACCCGGGGCTCAGGCAATCCTGAGTACCTGTTTAAAATTCTTTTTTTTTTTTTTGAGTCAGAGTCACTCTGTCACCCAGGCTGGAGTGCAGTGGCATGATCATGGCCACAGTAGCCTCAATCTGCTAGGTTCAGGTGACCCTCCTAAACTCCGGAGTAATTGGGACTACAGGCCCACACCACCACACCTAGCTAATTTTTAAAATTTTTTTGTAGAGATGAGTTCTTGCTATGCTGCCCAGACTGATCTTAAACTCTTGGGTTCAAGCAATCCTCCCACCTCAGCCTTCCAAAAAGCTGGGATTATAGGTGTGAGCCACCAGGCCCAGTCACTAAATTACTTTTGGTTTTGTGTTTGTTTTTTTTTTGAGTCAGAGTCTCACTTTGTCACCTAGGCTGGAGTGCAGTAGCACGCTCACGGCCACCACAGCCTTGACCTCCTGGACTCAGGCGATCCTTTCACCTCAGCCTTCCAAGTAGCTGGAACTACAGGCATGCACCACTATACTCGGTTAATTTTTAAATTTATTATAGAGATGAGATCTCACCAAGTTGCCCAGGTTGGTCTCAAACCAATGGACTCAAGCAATCCTCCCACCTCGGCCTCCCAAATTGCTGGGATTACAGGTGTGAACCACCACACCCATCCACTAAATTACTTTTAAAGTATATAATTCAGTGGAATTTAGTATGTTCACAATGTTGTGTGACTATCATCTCTATGTAATTCTAAGACATTTTCTTTTTTTTTTTGAGTTGGAGTCTCACTCTATCACCCAGACTGGAGTGCAGTGACCACTCCCAGCCACCGCAGCCTCAACCTGCCAGGCTCCAGTGATCCTTCTGCCTCAGCCTTCCAAGTAGCTGGAACTACAGGTGCATGCTACCATGCCCGGCTAATTTTTTATTTATTGTAGAGATGAGGTCTCGCCAAGTTGCCCAGGTGGGTCTCGAACCCGTGGGCTCAGGCAATCCACTCACCTCAGCCTCCCAAAGCGCTGGGATTACAGGCTGAGCCACTGAGCCTGGCAAGCAGTCATTCTCCATTACTCCCTTCCTTCTCCTCCAGCCTCCAGCAATAACTAATAGGCTTTCTGTCTCTATGAATTTGCTTCCGGATATTTCATATAAATGGAATCATGCAAGATGTAACCTTCTGTGCCTGACTTCTTTCACTTAGCATAATGTTTTCAAGGTTCATCCACATTGTAGAATGTATCAGTATTTCGTTCTATGTATTTATTTAGAATCGGGAGTCTCACACTGTCACCCAGGCTGGAGTGAAGTGGCACACTCATGGCCACTGCAGCCTCCGCCTGCTGGGCTCAAGTCATCCTTGGCCTCAGACTTCCAACTAGATGGAACTACAGGTATGTACCACCCTGCCTGGCTAATTTTTTGACTTATTGTAGAGACGAGGTCTCACCAAGTTGCACAAGCTGGTCTCGAACCCCTGAGCTCAGGCAATTGTCTCATCTTGGCCTCCCAAAGTGCTGGGATTATGGGGGTGAGCCACTGCACCCAGTCTGATTTTTTTTAATGTAGGGACAGGGTTTTGTTGTTGTCCAGTTAGGTCTCAGACTCCTGGCCCTCAAGCAATCTTCTTGCCTTGGTCTCCTGAAGCTCTGGGATTACCACTGTGCGCCACCTTGTCCAGCCTCATTTCCTGTTTTGATTGAATAATATTTCATTTTATGGATGCACTATGTTTTGTTTGTTCATTTATCAGTTGATGGACATTTGAGTTGCTTCTACTTCTTGGCTATTGGGAACTGAGCTGCTATAAACATTTGTTATAAGGGTTTGAATATTTGTTTCCAATTCTTTTGCATATATAGCCAGAAATGGAATTCCTGGGTCATACGGTAATTCTGTGTTTAACTTTTCAAGATTTGCTCATTCTTGAAAGATAATTTGACTGAGTATATAATATAGGGTTTGCCTGTGATTGTTTTCACACACAGATATTATTTCACCATAGTTTGGTATCCATATCGTGGAAAAATGTCATCATTGCTTTGAAGATTATCTTTCTTCTCTGGCGCCTTTAAGGTCTTCTCTTTGTCCACAGCAGTCTGTAGTTTTACTCTGATGTGTGCAATTAGATATTTTCTTTTATTTATTTATTTATTTATTTATTTATTTTTTGAGTTGGAGTCTCACTCTGTCACCCAGACTGGAGTGCAGTGGCCGCTCCCGGCCACCGCAGCCTCGACCTGCTGGGCTCCGGCGGTCCTTCCGCCTCAGCCTTCCG